AGCCCTGTGCTCTTTCAGGACAAGCCCAACAGTATACCTATGAGTCTCCATGTTTCAGGCAGACGAGGTATACAGTCAAAGCATGCCTTCTAGAACACAGTCTAGGTAATAATTTCTGGTCTAAGGAAAGACATACCCGAATATAAAGAGACTACTCTAATGATACTCTCTGTGAGATTTCCTCATAGAGTCTCTTTTGTGGGTCTGTTCAGTGCGAGCTATACCCGTATAGATCCACCCACGACTTTAGCTAAGACATCTCCATATCTGTAGCTCATGAGGTCTTTACCTTGCATCTGTATACAAGTAGATAAGTCGTGCTAGTCTTACCCGAGATCATTGATCCCCATTCTCAGTGTCTCTAGACTAGGAACATAAAATTAGGAATAAATATCCAGTATCCTTGAATCCTCATGATCGTGATCTCATCACAGATACTCAAGAGATACCTATTTTATTCCAAGGGGTTTATCCAGTTACTCATATAAAATATTAACAGTAATATTGAGACAAAATATGAAACAGGATAAATAGTGCTTTTATTTATTTGCGACAATACAAAGGTCCACATATGTCCTAATCTAATTAAAAGATTGTCTCTAGGACATCCATATACTAACAATTGATATATTGTTGATCCGAAACAGATTGTGAATCTGCTGTGTTTTGGGCTTTGAGCTTGTGTGGACTATGGGTTTGGATAGCTAGCTTACAATGTAAGCTTTCGTGTCCTCGGTTTAGCCATTGTTTGGTTCCACCATACCCCATAGGGGAATGGTTTATATGCATGCTGTGTTTTCATGCTTTGATGATTGGAATGTTGTTGAACTGTTAAGTGTAAGGGCCTTATAATATGCATGTGTAGTTCTACTTTGACGGTAAACCTGAGTATGTAGCGTCATACAAGATGGTGAGACTAGGGTGGATGCAAGTAGCGCCTTGCACTATGTGTGGGTAATAGGCGTATTCCTGCATTTTCTCTGGCCAGTAGATTATATTGACACAGATGACATGGTTATCTGTGCATTACACCGACTTTGGAACATATATATATATTGCGTGAACTGCTTTAGAACTTATATTGCACATGTAAGTGAGCTTAGGGTGGAAGATCCTTGAGGACCCCTTGTCTTACTGAGATTTCTTTTTAGAGATCTCACCCCACGTTTGGGGCACCGTTTCAGGTTCAGGTAATGCGGGGGTTGAGACCTCTAGCGGCAGGAGGCCGGAGCTTAGCTGATATTGTTGTTTATATGCTGATTATGATTGGATGCTGGATATGTCTGTTGCTATTCTTTTATTAGCTTCTTGATTATGTTAGTTCTGTTGAGACTTATGTTGGGCTTTGTTGTCTTATTTGGATGAGCATGGGGTTTGTCTAAGCCACTTGGTCGTTAGTACTTTTAGTTGGAGTTGTATAAACTATCAGGATTTGTCCGGTCTACGTATTGTAGTTCCGTGACTAGAGATATATTTATGTTGTTTAATTAATGAGGTATTTTCGTTAGATGTCTTTTGCAATTTACATACAGGCGATGTTTTATGAAAATGATTAAGTAATCAACTTGGCTAAGTATAATGACGTCATAATTGAAAAGAAAAAAGATATTCCGTATTTTTAAATTAAGTGTGGCTTAATACGATGACATGTTAACAAACCGGGTTAACACGGGGTGTTACACCACCCGTATTGGCCTTACCGGACTTCAGCAAGCCTTTTGTGCTCACCACTGATGCTTCCGGAATAGGCTTTGGTGCGGTGCTCAGTTAAGATAATAGGCCAATTGCGTATTTCAGCCGTAAGCTTTCCCCTAAGATGCAACAATCCTCCACCTACGTCAGGGAGCTTTTTGCTATCACGGAGGGAGTAGCCAAATTCCGGCTATACCTGCTAGGCAGTAAATTTACAATTAGAACATATCAACATAGCATCAGGGAACTAATGGCTCAAGTAATATAGACACCAGAACAACAACGTTTTCTGGTTAAATTACTGGGATATGATTATACCATTGAATATCATCCAGGCGCTATCAACAAGGTAGCTGATGCCTTGTCTCGGATCGACGAAGGGGAATCAAAGACTGACGTGGCAGAGTCCCAACTATTGGCCTTAACCACTCGCATTAACCCTTTATTGGATTCCATCCGACGAGAAGTCCAAGAAAAATTAGAGCTGTGTAAAATTGCCCAGGCCATAGAAGAAAAGAAAGATGGGTTTGAAAATTATACTTCTAAGGATGGCTTGATTTTTTTTAAAGGGCGAATTGTGGTAGCCAGTACCTCTGACATTCGCACCTCCTTATTACATGAATTCTATTCTACTGTGGCGGGTGGCCATGGAGGCATCAGGAAGACATTGCATCGCATCTCCACCCACTACTTTTGGCCCAATATGAAGTTCAATGTGCAGGAATTTGTGCGAACCTGTCCCACCTGCCAAGTAACAAAGTATCAACCTATGTCACCTGCAGGTCTTCTCCAACTGTTAACCATTCCAAAGGCAGTTTGGGAAGATCTGTCCATGGATTTCATCGTCGGCCTGCCACCGTCCGAAGGAAAGACTGTTGTAATGGTTGTTGTGGACCGCCTTTCCAAGTACGCATATTTTTCTCCCTTAACAGGAAATTTCTCAGCAACGAAAGTGGCCTCCTTTTTTGTATCGGATGTTTGTCGTCACCATGGCATTCCGCGTTCCATCGTCTCCGATAGAGATCGGGGTGTTCATCAGTAAGTTCTGGCAAGAGCTCTCGAGGCTGGGTGGCACACAATTGCACTTCAGCACCGCAAATCATCCTGAGAGTGACGGTCAGACCGAGGTCACAAATCGTGGGTTAGAACAGTATTTGCGCTGCTACACAATGGACAATCCAAAGAACTGGATTCAGTACTTACCTTGGGCGTAGTTTTCTTACAATTCGTCATTTCACTCTTCCATTGGGTTTAGTCCCTTCCAAGTGCTATATGGGCACTTGCCACCACCAGTACAGCCCTACGACGGAACGGCTACCACCATCGAAGTCGTGGACGCCTTGTTGAACCAAAGAGACACCATACTCAGACAGCTCCGCGATAATCTGCACCGTATGCGCCATCGAATGAAGACTCAGGCTGATAAACACCGTTGTGATGTCCAGTTTGACATTGGGGACCAGGTATTGGTCAAACTCCAGCCATACCGCCAGAAATCGCTCTGGAACCAAACCTTTTCCAAGCTTCGGAGAAGATACTATGGCCCCTTTCCGATTGCCGAGCGGATCGGGCCCGTGGCCTACCATTTAACCCTGCCGGAATCATCACGCATCCATCCTGTGTTCCATGTTTCCTTATTGAAGGAGTTCCGTAAAAATCCAATTTTTCACCCTCTTTCACTACCACCAGTGGCTTGGGACAACCACCCCGTGACTGAACCGTTGGCCATCGTCAGCTCGCGAACCATACAAAGGAACAACAGCTCCGATCTGCAAGTTTTGGTCCAATGGACTGGGTTGCCGTTGGAAGATGCTTCTTGGATGTCGGTTTCTGAGTTCATGCAAGCTTATCCTTTGTTAGATCTTGTGGGCAAGATCGAGTCTTTAAGGGCGGATACGAACATGGGACATATAAAGCCAGAGATGGGAGGCGGCGACAAGATAGGAAGCGGTGAACACAAAGAGGAGATGAATGAGACCAAACAGAGAGAGAAGGAGACCAATAGTGGAACAGAGAGTCAACGCAAGGGAGCTAGGATCAGGGTGAGATCCAAGTGGACCAAAGATTATTTGATGAAGCTAGTGGGCCAAAAGGGATGAGGCCCAGTAGCCTATTCTGAGAGAAGAATAGAATAGATAAGGAGAGGAAAGTCATTACTTGTATTCGTGGGCCAGTAGAGGAGCCCAATAGAAATATGGTTGTTTCTTTATAATTGTAGTAGCATTACAGTAGAGGGTATCTGATCAATTGTAGTTGAATTCTCATCTTCTTCCCTAAAAACTTTTCTGGAGTTGTCGGCAACCTCGAATTGCCGTAGGATTTCAATAATATACAGATATTCCTCACTTGATTGTTGTTGATTGTATCAGTATGGATAAGGTCGATATCTCTTTCTAAAAAATAATAATAATTTATGGTGGAAGTTACTCATTGTTCCACATGATGGAAAAAAGTTTAAAAAGCAAGGGGTGTTGAAATGACAAATAATCACCATGATAGCAGGAAATGTTCAAAATTGGGTAGTAGCATGATTTAAGAGTGGTAAAGATGATTTGCAGATATGAAAGAATTGCCCTCACCTCTACTCTCGCTGATTGAGGTTTAACGGAGAGTGGTTAGTCAGTTACTAAGTAGTAGCAGTTTCGTGTTTGAATAAATTATACCATGCACAAATTACTTGACCAAATAAAGAAAAGTAATCTTATAAAAGAAGGAAAAACACCTACAGAAGCAAGCTAGAACAGCTCCGTAGATTTGAGTTGATGCAAGCATATGCCGTTTGTTAAATGATTTAAAATATTCAAGAACTCTTCTGTTTATTTTGCATGTTCATAACTTTAGAAAACACAGATTTCACGCCTTGACACAAATAGATAGTCCACTAATCGACATAGCTAGATGTAAACAACTTTATCTCATATAACCTTAAATTATGTAACAATGTGTACCACTGAAATTCTTCTCCTTCTCAAATACCTGACAAGGTGCTGTCAAATTGCTGAATGTTTTAATGACATAACTATAGCCGATTTCTACCAAAAATAAATGAATAACATTTGGTATTTCGAGAGGGGAAAAATGGATTCCAAAAGCAAAAGCTCTAAAGATTAGTGGATGAGGGTCTGTTTCAAGGCCTGGGCATATATAATAGAAAATTTGTAGTAGAATTGTCTACCAAATAAAGATTCTTAAATTCAAACACAAATCATACAGTTCTCAAACACATAATTTTACACATGATTATGCAGAGGAATATATAAATATATTTTATACCAAAAAAATAAATAAACAGCAGAACAAAATTAATATAATTCAACATAGAGAGAAGTCCCATTTTCCATTAATCATAGCATCTGCTACCCAAACCAAATTAGCATAGTACAACCTGAGGTGCTGGATTTGTTGAATCTTACATAGAAACTATACATCACATTACAAACTACCAAGAAAGATAAAGAGAGAAAGGAACACATAATGGAACAAGATCAACCAAAGAATTTAGGGTCATAGCCATTGCTGGATGTAGCCAAGATATAATAAGCAACAATGTGACCTATGGAACCCCAAGCCAAGACATCAACAATGTTGAAGCCAACAGGGTCATTGGATTTGAGGAGACTAACATACTCCTTGGCACGTGTGTCTCCAGCCTCAAAGTGTGTGAGACCATTCTGCTCAGGCAAACCTTGTTTTGCCACATTCTCCCTTTGGAAGTTGAAAAACACAAACCTACCCAAGAAAAGGGATAGGCCAGTGCTCAAGCTTATGACCAATGCAGAGTTGAGTTCTGCTCTCACAACCCCATTAGCAACCCTTTTGTTGGGGGTGAAGGTGCTCACTTTGGTTGAGGTTGTGGACCTCGTGAGAGGTCTCAGACCTTGGAAGCACACGTTGGATGGCTTCAGGTGATGATGGATTTGGTGCTTTTGGATGGTGGATGATAAGGCATGATGAGTTGATATCATGGATGATGCTGAGGCTGCCATTTTTGGTTTTGTGGAGTTTGTGCTACTAGACTTGGAGATAAAACTATGACAAGAGATTTGTGCAGTACAGAAGATGAGATGGGATCATATACTATGAAAAGGGGTGGTTGAAGAAATAGATAAGGTGCTTTGTGATTGTGAACCATGGAATATAGATTTGGCTGATTACTTGGCTTGGTTCTATTGGTTAGTCTTGGATCACATATATTTTCTTGCTTTCTTTGTAGTTTTAAATTGTTGAACGTAGGTAAATTGGTAGCAACTATACAAGTGGAAAGAAAAAGATCTCACTTTGCTCCACGTAAGTTATTTTTTAAAGATGTTTAAATATTTTTATCTCTGATTTTTTCTATATTTTCGATTAATCTCATAATCAATTCAAAGAGCCAAAACTTACGAGAATATCAAAAAAAGCTTTAAAAAAGTAATTAAGGCCGAGTAAACTAAACATACATAATTGTTGAACTTATTTTGCAAGTTGAATGTAACATTGCTTGCGAAGACCACACGATGATGATGTAATGTTACCTATAGTTATATATGACTAAAATCAGGATTGTTAATAATTCAAGATTTTATTTTGCAAGTTGAACTATCTATCTAGCTTTGACTTGAAGATAGGAATTTTATTTGTCTTTCTTTCTCTCTTTTTTTTGTAATATTATTTGTCTTTCTTTTGACTTAAACTTCATAAGGATAAAAAAAAAAAATTATCTATTAATACAAGATAGTTTTTAGAGCCCTTGTGAATGAAAGGAACTGAATTATATGGTTGTTGAGAAATAATTGGTGTAAAAAAAAAAAAAATCCACAGAAGGCGCAGAGATACAATGCGAAATGGATTTGACAATAAAAATTATAATAGATCAGTTAATATTGTGCGTCGATGAACTTGGGCTGTAATTCAATTTGCAAGCTTAATATTTAAAATAGAAAACAAAATGCTGATTTCGCGTAAAAGATTTTAAACCATTAATAGACAAATTAACAGTGAACAATTACAGCTTGCCAAAAAAAAAAAACAGTGAAAAAATACAAAAGAAAAAAAATATTGGAATATAAGATGAGAAAAAATAATCACTGATTTATTTATCAATGATTAAAAACTTTTCATTGATCATATGAATTCACATAAAAAGATCCACCCCATGAAAAATCACTTTTAATTAATAGAAGTGACAGTTTAGATTCCATATTTTTAAATGAGAACACAGATTAAAATTGACATGCCCATTATAAAATGGGCTTTATACTTCTTCGGCCACTGTAGAATAATTTTTTTTGCAGCTAACTCAAGAAAAATGGGCCCTGCCGTTTTTAGAAAAAATAAAAAATAAAGGAAAAGAAACGGCCCGTTTTTTAATGTGAGAGTAGCAGAAGAAGATGATTTTTGCTATGACATAAGAAGCATTTTAGCCTTATAAAATTTAGGGAGGTTATAGTTATTATCTTTTTTCTTACTACTTGTTACTACCAAATCTTAACCGTTGATTTTTGTCAATCTAACGGTTATAATTTATTAGAATTAATAATTAATTAATAAATATGACCCAATAAATTATAACCGTTAGATTGACGGAAATCAACGGTTAAGATTTAGTAGTAACAAGTAGTAAGAAAAAAAGTAGTAACTATAGCCTTTCCTTAAAATTTATCAATATTTTATTTATAAATCTAAACATAATTCAATAATCTATTTTAACTAGTGTATGTGCCTCTATTTCTTTCGGCTTTAATCATTCTTTGTTTGTGTTTCATGCATGACTTTTGAGAATGAAAGCATGGCCAAATTTTAAACTTGCTTGAACAAGGAATATCTCTTTTAGGCATTGTTTGGTAGGTGGGCAATTTTTTTTTCCCGGGAAAAGTTATTCCAGCATTCTAATTTTACCATGTTTGGTAGGAGGAATTCTAAAATTTATTGTGAAAATTTTACTTTCCCTGAATTTGAATTAACTCATAAACATCCCAACAAATAATGCTATTATTAGACTAATCTAAGACCATTTTTATTAAATTTTGACACATTTTAACCTTCAAATGTTGCTCAATTGACAATTGAGCTCCCAAGGATCTTCTTGAGCCAAGGATTCAAATCTTATCTCAAGCAAATTCTTAAAAAATCTTTGAGGACCAAAGGACAAGACTTTCTCCTCGAATAAAAGATTAGTCTCATCCTTTCTCCAATGGAAAAACTCAGTGCATCCGCTGTTCCAATGAGGAGTTAACCTTTAGGACAGTATTCTGAAGATAAGGTGATCGTCAGAGATTGAATGGAGATCCCTCAAAGTTATACAAAAAAAAAAATGTCATCACAAACGTGGAATTACGGGAATCTTGGTGGATGGGATTATGTTGAGTGAATTTTCAGACAAAAGTACCCTCCATCGCAATTCAATTTTGTTGTTTTGAAAAGTTGAAGTTAGTTTGACAAATTCACCATATCTTCTAAATAATATTTTATCATCAACCAAATATAGATTCAATAAATGTATCTAATTTTTTTGATAATATTTTAGCCTACCAAATAATTTTTTTATAATATTCCCGAAAATCTCACTTTACCAAAAATATGGCAATTATAACTCCCCGATAAAAAAAATTTAGCTACGCCTCCTAGTTTTTACTATGTAAAGTTCACTGCTCATTCAATTGCATCACCTAAGATCTTGGCACTCAAGGACAAGAGGGGTAATGACAACTTCTATTCAATGCCTATTTTTCTGACCTTCGAAGCTCACTTGTTAAGCATCTGTTATTATTTTAAAAAAAAACCTATATCCTCAATGAGCAAACATCATTTTTTTTCCCTTGAATAATTCCCTATGTTCCAATCAAACGTTAACAAGACAAGTCCATGAACTAAAACCAAGTAACATCATGATTTATATGTTCTCTCCTAAACTCCTGTACATCTCCATGCTTTGCACACACTTATATAAACACTCCCTACCACTGCAACAAATTGAGAACAGTTTTCAACTTATATCAGTGAATCAAGGTAAGAGTAATTCCGGTGGCGGCCATACTCAAGAAGGCTACCATAAGTGTGATCCCAAACCCCAATAAAAAGGGACTCAGTGTCTGGACTGAAAGATATGCCTGATGTCTCACCAAAGAAATCGATTTCCTGTTCCTTTTCATACCCACTTTTCACGTCATAGACATGCACAAAATCTGCAGGCTCTGCCACAGCCATATACTGGCCATCAGATGTATACCGGATTGATCGGATGGCTCCGAGGTTACCCTTTAGCACAGCTACTGACTTGGATAAATTCCGCAAGTCCCAAATCCGGCAGGTTTTGTCCTGGTTTCCAGTAGCAAAGGTCACACCATCAGGATGCCATGATGCTGCAAATGAGAAATCTAAGTGCCCAGATAAGGGAACAATTGTCTGCAAAATAAAGAAAAGCAGATTAGCAAGATTTTCCAATATAAGCTCTGTTAGGATACAACTAAATAAGAGTTAAGTGATTATTAACCAAAAAGGGAGTAGAGTACTACTTTTCCATTTTGGGAGTCCACCAACATGCCTTCGGGGCTGTCTCCAACAATTAGTAGTAGTTTACCATTGGGACTGAGAGAAGTATGCTGCAGCAAAAGAAGGGGGACAAAAGATATGAAAATAAATAGAAAGCAAAGGAATGCTAAGAAAACAATATCATGACAAGAGAATTATCCAACTGAAAGATTATCCTGATTACTAGTGGCTTGTTATACGAGCATATTCCAAAAAGCAGAGTTATTGGCACTCCCTTTTGTCTATTGTTTCTTAAAATTGTGTTGACATTAAGAATAAAAGTAGTTAGAGACGAGTGGGAATAGACATCACCGCCTCATCCATACTGCCAATGTGTAAGCCATGTTTCATAAGTGATAAGAAGAAACGGAAATGCAATTTCTGAAGGAACCAAAGTAAAGTATCCAGTTATAGATCTTAAGAAGGCAGAGGAAAATAAAAGATAAGAACTAAATCTCAGGGACTCACATTCACTGGCCATGGAAAACGAAAATGCTTAGAAAGCTGAAATTTCTCCATATCGAAGTCTCTGACTCCACAATCATTATTGGAGGCTGTGAAATGAACTGCACCACTAAAAATCAGAAAGCAAGTTCATTAAACTTGGTACCTATATCCTCCAAGGAAATAAAAAAAACACCAGGAGAAGGAAATTTATATACCTAGGACTAGCATAAATCTCAATGGCATTGGTAATGGCATTATCATCATAAGTGGTCCTTGAGCAAAAGCTAATACCAGGTCGATCAAGGTGCTGCATTCCAGTAACAAAGAAGGAGGTCAAATCTTCGATATTCCGTTAATGGTTATAAAACCAAGAACAAATTCTATGAGGGAAAAGTTAGCAGCATCCGGCAGAATAACTAGAAAAAAAAGCACTAGAGTCTGGTAGCAATAATCTAAACATGAATGAAAAGATAATCCAAACAGTGCTTGAGAAGAGAAGCTGAAAAAAGAAAGGAATAATGAAAGAAAAAGGAAGCGACACTAAAAACTCCATTGCTCAGGAAGAAAATAAGAGGAACAAGTACACCTCTATATTAATTTCTAAAGACTGAGTATATTCCTAAGCTCAACATATAATTGGTCTATAATATTACCCAAAAAATCTACTCATCACCATATGTAAGTCAATTTTTTGTGTATGTAAGCAAGGTATACATAGAATTTTTTAAGTTTTCTTAAAATGTTTCATAAAATGCCCTGAGGTCCAGGAGCACAATTTACACTTACTACTGCAACCACTACAGATTACAAAAGTAGACATTCCTAAAAACACAAGCAAATCATCTAATTTACCTTACAAATAAGTTCACCCTGAAATCCTCCGGCAACTAGAAGCTTCTCTTTTACTGCAAGTGTACTGACTTGAGTGTACATAAATCCCTCCAAGAGACTTCCAGGATGTTTCTGACAATGAAAATTGACAACTTGGAAGATTATGACCAAGATTGATCAATTTTATCATATATTTACAATGAATAAGAAGAAGGATGTCATATTCAATTAAACAAACATAATTAAAAGAGAAATTCACCTCTGATGGAGCAATGTGTCCTGAAACATTGAGTACCTCTGACCTTGTGCAAGTCAAAGAAGACCAATGCATTACTGAAAACTGTGACATAACGTATACATCATGCTTCGATGTAGCCCAAACCAAATTCCTCAACTGCATAATCATTAAAAAAAGGCGAGTCAGAAATGATGAGATCCTATCTCTTCAAAGCCTATGCCGAGCTGTTTGAGATTTGCATCCTATGAACAGATTAGGCTACTTTGACATAATATTAACCACATGTTGCAGCTTTGCAGACTACACAAAGCTCTCTCTACCAATCTCCGAGTCATATCTCCTGCTGATTCACAGACCAGCAATGAAGTATTTTTACAGAGTCTGCAGCTAGATATCAGAGGTGTAGACCAAAAGGCATTTCTTTTTTCTTTTTTCTTTTTTTAATTTTCAATCTGTTAAAAGATTTTAAGGATTTTCTCATGTGTCCATTCCGAGGTTTGGAAGGAACAAAGGGGTCTACATTTAACCAAATGCAACTATTCTGAAACTATGGGAACCAAAAGTGCAATTCATCTATTGTCAAATACAACTCCTTGCCAAAATTCTTTAGGCAAGAGACCTAGAGACTGCACCTTCTTTTCCTATTCTTGTTATTAACTTCAACATAAGGTGTCTAAGGTAGAGACAATTTGTAGTAATAGTAATGGTAAGCTCATATTTTGTTCTCGTTTCAAGTTCAGAAGGCTTTCATTGAAGGGGAGGGTTTATACATAAGAGCCCTTCTTCAGACTTCACTTATAAGTTTGAACTTTTGGTTTAGTATTTCTCTGACAGTAATTATGTTCATAACTTCATATAAATAGAATAAACAGAGCCAACATGCAGCAAAAAGTCATGGTGCACCCTTAAAGTTTTATGAAAACCAGAGTAGAATAAACTCACCTGAAAATGAAGAATTGTTGGCTTTACTGATCTTGAATTTTTTCGGAACTCATAATATGAGTATCCTTTTTTGGTGTTTTTGCAATCCTGATTGTGATAGAAAATAATAGACAGGTCAAGATGGTATTATCCTTCTAACAAATGACATGATTGAGGAAAAATTTCTCTAAAATATGAAAAAGAAAAAGGGCCAAATCATTACCTTCCCCGACCTGTCCCCTGAATTGGGGATATTTTCATAATTCTTGTATTGCTCAAGCCTGGTTTGCCGATACCTTTCCCTAGTGATGCTAAGCCTATCCCAAGGAATTCCCTGGATGTCCTGTCCTCTTCTGGATTGAGCAGCTGTGGTGTCTACCACCTTACTACTCTGCAACATCACTACAATATTACTCCTAGAAATACAAACATAACTCTATACACAGTTGACAAGCTTGATGAATCAATCAAGTAGGAGGAAGAGTGACTCAACCACGAATCGAAAATGAGTAATCTTAATACAAAACATACTAATCAACATCATAGTCATAAAACAGGACAAGCTGCAAAATATAAGAACAAGCACATTACAAACCGAGTCATCATATTCATCAACATCAGACTCTATTTCTCTATTAATAGATCCATCATCCATATCATCTTCTACATCTTCCATTTCGTATTCATCCGCCCTATGTTCGTTATCGTCCGATTGGCGGTTTGACATGTTGTGCCCAACAAATCAGAACCTATGATAACAATAGAGGAGAAAATTTAGAAAAATCTGAGGCAAACAACAGTCTAGTGTGAGCAACAACACTTGAGTCCCAAAGTTAAATACATAAATAAATAAAACCAACAAAAAAAAAAAAAAAGAAGAGAAAAACAACCACCAGTAAAATGAAATTCAGCAACCAGTCTAACCAGCCTATAATTTCCAGAGAGTTAAACTATCACCTAACAAGGATCACTGCGTTAAGTAATGATGGAAAACAAGCAACGAAAATATTATTCAATTTTATAACTAACGACGTTTCAGTAATTGGAAAACCATATAACCATGATTGACATGTGCACCAATTAGCTATTCCTATGAACCCTATGAAAAAGATGGCAAATACTAAAACTGATAAATAATCACTTATAGACAACAAAGAATTAGGGTTCCAATAGAATACCCTCCCCTCCCCAAAAAAAAAATAATAATAATAAAAAAAAAAATCATACAAATGAAATTAAGGGCATTTAAAAAAAAAGAACAATTTTCCCAAATTCATCTAGAAATTAAATACCTATAGACAACCCAGAATTCAGGGTTCCAATAAAATAATCTCCAATATCATGTAAATAACTCAAGGGCATTCTTTCTTTGCATTCTTTCTTTTCTTTTCTTTTTAACGATAGTTTCTCAAATTCATCTAGAATGTGACAATAATTGCATAAGAATTATACAACAAACACCCAAAAGTCGTTGTTATCAGAAAACGAAAGGAAAAAAAAAAAGACAAAAAAAAAAGAAATTTAGAGAAATTTTCAGATTTCAAACGATGCAAAGGAAAATGAATCACAAACCTTTGTTTGTTTGCTGGAAGGAGCTGTATCAATTTCAACTCAGAAATGCAAATTAAAGAATAAATATAAATAAGGGTACGCACGCAACTTACACAATTGTGAAATTAATTTTTATTATCATTTTGAACTGTTATTTCCAAGGAAGAACGGAGACTTATAATCTCCGACACGCTTCGATACGGTGTCGGATATGCGGTCAATTTTTTCCGACACATTGACCATTTTGACACGCGAATTTGACCGTGTCCGACACGGTCAAATGACATTTTCGTAATTTTTTTAATTTTAATTTTTTAATTTTTTTTTGAAAAAAATTATTTTTTTAAAAAATTAAAATATATTAATAAAGCTTCCACCTGATCATATCAATTTTATTTTTTTGTCTTTTTTCCCTTAAGTAGATAAGAGATCATCTCAGCATCATTGTTGTCAATTCCTATCACGCTCTTGTTGTATCTCCTTGTCTCTGATCTCTCTCTAATATGATTTGATCTCTCTATCTGATACTATATCTCTCTCATCCCAGTTTTTATTTTTTTATTAAAGCTTCTATCTTTATAACGTGTTGATGGATATTATTAATTTAGTTTCATTTTTTTGTTAAATTATTAAATATTAAATGAAATATACACTATATAAATTAAAAATATTATTTAATATTAAAACGTGTCCTAACGTCTCCAAATTCATAATTTTTTAGGATTGACGTATCAAAGTGTCGTGTCACGTGTCACGTGTCATATCGGTGCTATTTAGGTTATTTCTATTAACGAGATTAAGTCATCTCTGAACTTTCAAATTAATATCGTTTTGAGCTTAAGAATAAATAAAAAATAAGGAATACTTTGAAAATTTTGTAACATGAATTTTTCAAGATGCACTTCACTCTTTTTTTTCAAATTTAAAAACGGTGTCGTTTATATTGAATGAGAATTTTATTATAAATACTATTTTGGATCCTCAATAAAAAATATAAAACTCATTTTAATTCCTTAAAAGAAAATATTTATATTAGTTTTTTTTAGAGATTAATATAGATTTTTTTTAATTTCTGAAGAATCATAATTTTAAAAATTAAAATTTCAGAAGAATTACAAGTTGATTTTTTTGAATGGATTAAAATGGGTTCCGTATATTTTATTGAAGACTAAAAAAGTATTTACCCTTTTATTTTTAGAGAAACATAGAGCTATTTAGATGGATTTTTTTTTTCCTGGAAGTTGTTTTTTTAAGAAAAATAAAATAAAAACATTTTTCGCTATAAGTTTGTTTAGATGTCAGCTTTAAAAAAAAAAACAAATTTAAAAAATTTAAATAACTTTAACTTTTATAAAAAAAAATACTTTTAAAATAAATAAGACATAATTTTTTTTACTTTTTTAAAAGGTTAAACAAACAGGCTCATGGAATCTTTAGAATAAATATGAGAGTATTTATTTTTTCGTTAATATAAATTAATTCCTTCTCAATAAATAAATATAATGATTGGTGTAATTATTATTTTTTATTTGATTAGAATTTTTGAAGGAGGATAGGAGTTGAAAGAAAGAAAAATAATAAAAATAAACAAATAAATAAATAATAATAGGCGTGGGTGATTGGGTCGCGAGAAAAGGATAGGTAACTGATACGTGTCACCAGTATTTTGATTTCCATTTTTCTAATTTTAACTTATTTATTGTCTTTCATTTTTATAGTAATTTACTTTTTGATTGAATTTTGTTTCTACTTCTATGTCGATTAGGGACGGTTGATAGTTTGGGAGAAAAGGACTGAGAAGGATTTGTGTTTGTTTTGTCGTCACTTGTGCATTATTTTTGTGATTTTTCTTTGCTTTTTTTTTTCTTTTTTTTTGAATTGGTGACTAAGCTAAGTAATAATTAGTGTAAATTTTGTATTCAAAATAAAAAATTAGTCAAGAATGATGGCTTTTTGACCCTTTTGCCCCTCATTAATTAATTAATAACTAATTTGCCCCTGATCAAGAACTATCCACCAACCTGCCCCCGTTTAGTCGACTACCTTGCTGTTTTAGTCGAGCAAATGGTCAATCTTCAGAAAGTGGACTACCGCAAATTTAGTCGACTAAAAAATCATCTTAATCGACTACATTTTTGGGATATTTAGTCGACTAAGTATCGATATTTAGTCGACTAAATGTCGACTGAAACCCTATATTTTCCATGTTTTCGGTCTCATTTCGATTGTTGTTGTTGTGTAAACCTAAATAGCTCCCTTTGTTCATGTGTAATCCTCTCAATCCGATTGTATTTCATCCCACCATCTCTACAGACCTAATATTGTGAAATCATTGTCATTGCCCAATTCCAAACCCCAAAATCCGAACCCAAACCCCCAATTTCAGAACCCAAGTCCCAATTTCGTGAGGAAGATGAGCACAAGTCCAAACATGTATGTGACAATGATCTACTATGATGGAAAGCATTATGAAGGCCCCAATGGTGTTCAATTTGAAGGAAAAACGAAAATGTTGAAAATCAAACGGGGCACTACATACAATGAGTTAAAGGAGAGAATTCAGCAAAAATTGGGTTTGCAAGGCAGCCAATGCGTTCAACGGATGATTGCCAGGGTAGAGACAACAGTTGGTAAGGATGCTATTTACTACATTGGTAACGATATATGTGATGATGAAGATGTCGAATGTGTCATAGATGCAATTGTTGACCGAAAATTTCAAAATTTTATTGAGATATATGTTGAATTAGATTGTGGTCAATCTTCATCTGCACCCATGCATACAAGAAGTGAACCGTATTTTGGTCATGAAGAAAGAGTAGTCGATTTATCTGCACCTGCACATGTCATAAGTCAGATAACACTGCGGGAAATAACGGCCGGTTCAAATGGTCACGTACGAATGAAGCGTGGACGACAGGGTCGTCCTCAAACAGATACCCATACGGGAGGTCAACAGTATCAGGCTCTTCGTCTTGTCGCCTTGACGAAGAAGGCCGCTCTTGCCTATGCTTGGTGCGTCTCTCAAGTGACTCATTGCCCTCATCGCTTGGTCTTCTGCGGCTCGTCATTTGTTTAGGGTACCTACAATGAAACATGTCAGCATTTAACTATATGAAACATGTCATGATGGTAATGAAAACTTGCAACATAAGCGCTGTAAACCAAAAGCAAACTTTTGCCCCATACAAACTTTTCAAACAAAAAAATTCACACAATGCAAAAAAATAAACCTTAGTAGATTACGGTTACAAAACCTACAACAAACCTACAAAAAATTCACACAATGCAAAAAAATAAACCTTAGTAAATTCACACAATTCACAAATTCGGACAACAAACAAATACAAAAAATTCCTAAACCTAAAACACAATGCAAGTTAAGAAACCTTACCTATCCTTCAGATTTCACGATTTGGACCAAATTTGGGGGCAATCCACACGCCTAAAGGAAGGGTTTGGACCGTTCTTCAGCTGCTCCTGCGGATTTGGGGTTTGGGCCGCCTCCTTAGTCGATTAGGTCATCCTACTCCCCCTCTGCCGAATGGGGGGTTTTTAAAAACAAATCCGTCGATATTTAGTCGACTAAATATCGATACTTAGTCGACTAAATATCCCAAAAATGTAGTCGATTAAGATGATTTTTTAGTCGACTAAATTTGCGGTAGTCCATTTTCTGAAGATTGACCATTTGCTCGACTAAAACAGCAAGGTAGTCGACTAAACGGGGGCAGGTTGGTGGATAGTTCTTGATCAGGGGCAAATTGGTTATTAATTAATTAATGAGGGGCAAAAGGGTCAAAAAGCCCAAGAATGATGGCACAAAGTTGAGGATGCACCCAAAATCCTATTGTGTAAAGTTGAGAAAATTTTGACTTTTTTTTTTTAAAATTAGGATGAAGTAACAAATTTAACGAGCTTAACGGAATAAATAAACAAAATGAATTTACTGCATAAATTTTATTAAAATTTTGACTAAATTTTTGTCGGAGTTAAATATTTAGAAAAAATTATTAACAAGTTTCTAATATATATATATATATAGAGAGGGGGGACGGATCAATTTACATTAGTATTATACTTGATTTTTCTTGTTGATTTAGCTCACCTTTAATAGTTTTAATTTAATTATTTCAGTTATTAAGTATAAATAGATTAATAATTAAAATTAAATATAAAATTTATTATTTTTATATAAATGTAAATTGATGGTTTTGTAATTTCAAAAAGTTATACAAACACAATAAATTAGATCTTATTGAATAATGAAGTGTTTGAAGTTTATATTTAGCCAAAATATACTAAAGAAAATATAAGCAAATGGTTGTAAAAGAGCTGTTCCACTTAGATGGTGCTTTGCTCACCAAATATGGTGGCGTATCTCATGGATCTTGCTTGGTAATTCAAATACGAACACTTCTTGATTGTAACTGGCAGATTTTGATTATACATGTATTTAGAGAAATCAATCGTTGTATTAATTTTTTAGCTAATCTTTTC